AAAAAAAAAAAAAAAAAAAAAAACTACTCAAAATAATCTCATTAAAACGCAATTTCTGAGAAGGAAGAACTGCTATGAAATTCTTATGTGTCTCAGATGAGAAGTGCATGGTCCATTTTATAAGGTTCATATGAGATAATAGTTTCGTCTCTTTTCCATGTGAGATAAGAGGTTTTTTCTTTAATTTTTCTAATTTCATGGTATCACTTGGAGAGTTAATTTCTCCTTCAATTAGTGAATCTTTTTAAGTATATGAATATATTATTTCGACCTCCTCATAACGGATAACATAAATTCATATTGACTCGTTATTAATACGAATTGAGTCCTCAAAATCAAGTCTCAAATTGGCACCTCAAAATGGGCTACCAAGCCAGTTTTTAACAATTAACGTAGTTAGTATTATAATTTATATGTCAATTGATGAAAAATTCTAATTATAGAGTTTCGAACTATCCAATCGCATTGAATTTTAGGTGGAGTCTGCTTAGAGTCAAAAATTCAAAATCAATAAAAGGTTTTCTACAATGTATATATTATGGCCAAAATATTTATTTACTATTCAGCCGCTAAACATTTTCCCATTTAAACGATATTTTAAATAGATAAGATCCGGGACAATAAAAACATGCACTACCATGCTCAACTTTTTCATTCTTTAATGTACAAAAAAACTACAATAACATTGATAATCATAACAAGAAATTTCATTTTATATCTTTATTATATCTGAGCCACCACCTTGTCCTGTCCAACTCCGCAATCTTTCGGATGCTTGTTCTACCTGTAAATGTAATAGAATGAAATTGTTCATCATTCTAATAGCAATATTTCTTTTAATAACTTTCTCATAAAATCTTTGAAATGCTTCTTTTTTTTTTTTTTTTTGGAATGTATATAACTATCTTTACCTCTTTATTCCAGTTGGTTTTGTAAATGATATATACAAGAATAAGAGTCTGCAAAAATGTCCCACATATCATGCCTATCCAAATTCCCTGGAACAAAAAATGTCCATTAAAATGTTGTTAAGCTGATTACTAAATGAGAAAAAAGCTCTAAAATAATAGATGAAGCATTTGACTTCATCTATATATGCTCCATTTGAAAAGAATCTCTTTCTAATTTCTCGAAAATATTTTACCTCCACTTTTAAATTGGTTTTATAGCCAAGTAGAAATCCAAGAGGGAGCCCAATAAGATAATAACAAAACAAGTTTATGTAAGCTACTAAAGCTTGCCAACCTCCTCCTACAGCAACACCTGCCAAAGAAAAAAGTTACAGCCTATTAATTGGACGAGAAAAAAAGAAAAGAAAAAAACAAAAACTTATCTAAACACTTTTATCTTGTAAATAATGGTGCTATTGTGTGGTATTTTAATACAATACAATTTAACCCACCATCTAGAATGAAGCTTTTTAAGTGCAGCATTTGATTTATTAGTAGCAATGTTAAACGTTATCCTCAAATAGAAGACACCAGCGATGTTAAACGCTATTCTCGAATAGAAAGTCTCAGAGATGAAACTCACCTTTTATTAGTAGTGATGCTTAGCACCGGTGGTGGCCGTAAACATTTTTCTTTCATAATTCTTATAGGTGGGATTATAAATTTACCCTTGTGATTCCTAAATTACCATTGTGAAAGTACAAAAGCTTCCTTCTTTTTTTTTTTTTTTTTTTTTTTTTTTTCCTGAGATAACTGGCTGAACACTATTAAGAACCATGGTTATACCAAGAAGAAATGCTAAACGAGAGACTGCTTCTTTCATTTCCTCACTATCGGTAAAGATTATGGCAAAGCGGTCCTTGGTTAACAAGATGATTGAGGCAAAGATAATTCCAATGCAGAGAGACTCAATGCAAGTGACAATAACGGAGTACTTTGCAGCCCTTGGATGTCCTGATCCAAGCTCATTGGAGACTCGGACACTGAAAAAAGAAGTGAAACAGAACGTGTTAACTTGCAGGCTGGTGAAACAAACATATTTGGGAAGTATGAAAAACGACAGAAAATTTCTTACCTTATGGCTGCGTTGATCCCAATGAACAACATGCCTTCCCATCCATTTATATTCATGCTGAAATATTATGGCAATTTAAAATTTGTTACCACGGATTTCAATTCAGATTCAAACGGAAAAAAAAAAAAAAAAACATATATTTGGCACCTATGTCACGCATGTCAATATTTGTACATGATTACACATATATATATATATATATATATATATTTGAAACGAGCCAAATAATGAGGTAAGAAAAATGCTAAATATTTCGACTCACCGAGTCAGGATGTGAGATTGGAGATGGCTCCATAGTGGGGTCGACCACTTAAGTGACCAAATCCAACTCCAACCTGAGTCGGAATATATGGGAATGCTCATAAAGAAAAGAGTACCTTTATTTGTCTCTACACAAGACAAAGAAAGGATGCTGCATAGGAATTTTCAGAGAGAAAAATACCAGGTAGCTAAAGATGATGCTTCAACATTGGTTGGTAAATTTAGCAAATATTAGTTCAGTTATAGGATATAACTGATTTGTCATTAGCCCTATGGTACCAACATTGTTCTAACTGCAAATAATCTAATTAAGATTTTTCAAATTTTATTTTCAAATGGAGATCATATCTTACCAAATTGAAAGAGAACCAACTGCAATAATAGGGTCCTCAAGATGTCCAGTCAGAACAATTATGGTCATAAAATACCAAATCTCCAAACAAAGCATCACAGCTGAGGCAACAGAAAGCTTCACAAAAGCCCACATATCCTTAAAAGCCAGCCATGACAAACCCTTCCAGCCATCCTTGCACCAACCCACAATGTAAACCACCTGCGCCACCGCCACGCCCCAGGCGGAGATGTCATACGCCGCTGCAGCGCCACCAGTGCCCCACCCGAAGACCTTGATGAAGAGATAGAGGATGCCTGTGTGCAAGACAAGGGCTGCAAAACCAACCCAGGCCAGAATTGCCACTCTGCTCTGTGCCTGCAAGAACTTTTGTGTTGGAAAATTGATGGCAAGGGAGAACATTTGGGGTATGATTTGGATCGAGAATTTCCCCGCGAGGTCGGCGATTTCGTCTTCTTGACCGAGGAGTTTGAGGATCGGGGTTGAGTAGATGTAAAGGGGTAGAAGAGCAATGCAGGTTGTGAATAGAATTATCCATGAGCGTTGCATGTAAACTCCTAGCATATCTACTTGGCCAGCGCCAAATGCCTGTCCACATAATGTCTCTAGTGCACTTCCCATGCCAAGCTGCAAATTCTCATGTAATATCTAGTTAGATTTTGGACAAGAATCAAATGTCTTAGATTATGATGAAAATTTTTCCCACCATGAGTCCCAATGATTTTATAATATCAAACATTCAATTGGATTTCAGTATTTATGCTTATATATTTGATACAATTTTTTTTTTTCATTTTTTTAAGAAATGGATTGCATACATAGCCAATGATAAAGTCAACTCTGACTTTCAAATCTCCCACTCTAAGTTCCAAAAATAAAAATAAAAAATAGATTCTCTTAAATTATATCTTGAGACAAGATCTCTACCCTTGATTTTATTTTGTTTCTGAATAAAAGAAAGACGAAAAAAATAATGGGTCGTAAACTAGGAGGCACTAAGCTCTTTCTTTTTTTTTTTTTTTTTTTTTTTTTTTTTTTTTTGGCACAATGCTTAATATGTTATTTTGGAGCTTACTTGGCCTGTCATTGTCAGCAAAAGTGTATCATACAAATAGGTTTGTTCTCATAGTCTAGTCTCCTATAAACTCGATAATGTGGGGTTAAAAAAAAAACAGAGAAAAACAATTTACGGGTATTTACTTTGACCAAAGATTCAATGTCAGATTTGTCTGGTTTTTCATCAAGCACGTTTTGTAAAACTCTTTTACTCTCAACAAACAATTGATATTCCACGATGTAACGATCCTTTTATATTGTATTAACACTTAAAAAGATGTTAAAAACAAAATCTACATCAAATATTTTTCAATTAGAAAATCAGCATAAAACTTGTTGCACAATAACATGTCAGTTTTATCAATAAGAATATTAAGCCAAAAAAAAAAAAAAAAAAAAAGGGAGGAAAATTACCAAGAATCCAAAAGAGAAATTTGCAATGACAGAAAGGGAAATGGCAACAGCAGAGAGTTCCACATTCCCAATATGGCCCACAAAGACATTGGTGAAAGAGTTAATCCCATAATTGCACCAAATATTAAAGGCTATTGGCCCTGCAATTGCCCAGAACTTTGACGACTCCAAACAACATATGTTTTTGGCGTCTCGAAAGTTGTGCACCGCTGGGTAATCTTCCTCTCCTTCTCCCTCTATCTCACTGGGCCCCACAAGCTTTGTTGGCGCATATTGGAGCTCAGCAGACTCCAAAATTGAAGAAGAAGAAATCTCATCAAACCCAGACGGTGGTAACGACGTCGTTTCACCGTCAGAGGACGACATTTCTTCCATGAGCACTGCTTCATGGTCTTCTAATAATTCCTTGTTATTACCTATTTTTACTGGTTTCTAAGGGACCCCTTTTTTTTTGTCTTTCTTTCTTGTTGTTGCTGCTTCAAATGTTTCAGATCCAACGTTGAAAACTTGTTGAAGCAAATTGTTTTGTTGTCCTTTTTTTTTCCTTCTTCTTCTTCTTCTTCTTTTGAAACTGTTGATGTGGGATTTCCGGTTCAACAGTTAGGCCATTAAGTGCCCTTAAGTTAAGTCTAGGTCCCTTATTAATAGGATCATTAATTAATTATATTTTAAACTGTTTGTCCCTTATTAATAGGTCCCTTATTAATTAATTATGTGAATTTCCCTTCTCTTTTTTTTCTCTACCGTTTTGCTTCTTTCGTTGTTACCCTTTTTGATTGTTTATGATAAGCATATTTTTCACTTATGTTCTACTTCATGATCAACTCCCTTCATTTATTCAACTTTCCTTTGCCAACAAATTTTATGATAATACTCCACGTAATCAAAATGCATATTTTTCCTTTACCTACGTGTTGTTGCGCAGAGAATATGGATAATAGAAAGATGGGAGCGAAAAAAAATGGAGAAATATGTGTAATTTTATTTGATTGGGAACCATAGGAAATTATACGCATGCACATGAATTCATGCACAAGAATATATATATATATATATATATATATGTATGTATATACAGAGGAAATTTCTATGTTAAAAGTTAGACAACCGGTAGGGTGGAGAATTTTTTTTTTTTTTTTTTTTTTCCGTCGGCCTTCTTGGCATCAGTCTGTTTGTCTGTCCAACTCCGACCGCTCTCTTCGGGGGCTGAACATTTCTCAAACTGATTCCCAAGTACAAGCGCCGTTGCGGGCGGGATCCTCAGAGCCTTCCATCACTTGTCACCAGTTCCACAGCTCAACGTTGGGCCTCCAGCCAATTTAATGGCTCGCTTGGTCACAGGCCCACGCTACTAGGCCCAGCTATTAATTAATTTATGTGAAGAAGCTTCGTTATTTCGTGGATTCGAGTTTTTAATTTGAGCTGAGATATGACATTTTATGATAACTTTTTATTGTAGCAAAAAAAGTTAGATGTGACATTTTTTGAGAGTTTTTTACTGTAGAAATTTAGAACTGAAAACTCAAATCGGTGAAATAAACGAGTTAAATTACATCACCTTTTCCGATGCGGAACACTAGTTATTCTTACATGTGTCAGCTAACTCGGCAAAATGCTCGACTTTTTTTTTTGGTTAATAAGCTTTCAAAAAAAAAAAAAAACTTTAAAACATATTAGTAGATTAAGGTTCCGTTCATTTCACCGATTCTAGTTTTCAATTCACCGATTTTAGTTTTTAGTTTGAGATTTCTACAGTAAAAAGTTCTCAAAAAATGTCACATCTAACTTTTTCTGCTACAATGAAAAACTCTCAGAAAAATGTCACATCTCAGCTCGAATTAAAAACTCAAATCCGCGAAGTGAACGAGGCCTAAGTTTTTTATTCATTAGATTTGTATAAAATCATGTAAAAATTAAAAAGTACTTATATATAACAGTTAAAAAAACTGGTCTACTAGTACGCGAGGCGTATAGAGAATCTCAAAAAAAAAAAAAAAAAAAACTACACTTTGATTTGTTTCAAAAAAATACACTTTGATTCATTTTTAATGAAACTGTCTTTTGTAGGCCGTCCTACTAGTATAATTAATTTTTTGACCGTTGAATCTGATAAAAAAAAGATTAAAAAATATGTAGAATAGATAATTTTTTATGTAAATCTGACGGCTGAAAAAATTGAAATTGCTAGTAGTTTTATTTTTCTGATCTTGCGGGAGAAATCTCATTTTTAATAAAAGAAAACCAAAAAAAAGTTTGGCCACCTATATGAAATTACACTATTTACAATTTATTGGTAGGGGCACTCACTCTACATCACAGCAATTACAAGTGTCTAGTGTCAATCCGCAATTAAACAAAAAATTATAGCTCTCTTCCTTTGTTTTAATTAAGCAGATTATTAAAGAGTTAATTTCATTTTTAACTCTTAACTATGCAATTCGTCCCATTTTGATTATTGAATTTTAAAACATTGCACGCTCTCGAACTATGCAATTTATCCCATTTTCCCCTCTCATAATTATTTTTTCTTTTCATTTTAATTCACAAGAATCATACCTCAATATATAAAATATTTTACAAATATCAAACCTTGAGATCGGGTTTCAAGAGCAATACGATGTTGAATTTATATTTTTAAAAAATTTTATTTTAATCCTTTAACTCTTAAAAATTATATTTTCACCTTTAAAAATTATATGATAAAAAGTATAATTCAAAATTACAATAGACGTTAAAATATTATGAAAGCTTGATACTGGGTTTCAGGACTAATGTGATGTTGAATTTATATTTTAAAAAATTTTATTTTGTTCTTATAACTTTTAAATATTATATTTTCACCCTTTAATTTAAAAAAATTATGATAAAATTATAATTCAAAATTACAATACACTAGGTAAAATATTTCACAAATATCAAAGCTTGAGATCTTATTTTAGGACCATAGGGATGTTGAATTTATATTTTATAAAAATTTTATTTTAACTCTTTAAATTTAACAAATTATGAGAAAAAGTCTACTTCAAACTTAAAATCGACCATCTTACATCTTATTTTCAATCATACTCATTCTAATTATCAAAAAAGAACAAAAAAAAAATAGATTAATTACAAAAATTCTCTATAAATTATCGCCTTTGTAACACCTTATTCTCCGATCTTTAAAACATAATATCTATATATTGTGTATGAAAATATTAATAAATATTTCCTTTTGTTAGAATTTCTAACATAATTGACACTTATCAATTGTTCTTACGTAGTTTGATGCAAAATTACTCTTCTATTATTCACTTTTAAATTTACATTTTTTAAAAACATATTTAAAATTTCATTTAATATCATAATAAATAAATAAAATTTTTAATTTTACTCTTCTTATTGATTAATTAATTAAAACTTGTTAAGTAACAATAAATAAAACATAATTTTTAAATTCAAAATATATTTTTTAATTTAACTTGAATCATGTACCACGTAGTTTTCTATTAAAAACTTTAACAGAAAGAGTTTTTTTTTTTTTTTTTGGTCAAAAATTTATAGTTTAAGAGAAACGAACGTTATATGTTTTGAAGATGCAGGAATAAAGTGTTACACGAGTTAGGAGAATTTTGGTAATTAATCAAAAAATTGTGCCCATTCCAAAAGATAAATATATAAAAATGACTGTCGTTTAGTTGTCATCCAATAATTTTTTTTTATTGTCGCTTTGTCTATCGGACATGTCCTTTCCAACTTAAAACGACATCATCTCGTCTCGTCATGAGCGAGTCAAAACTCAAAACCATAGCGTAAATGCTATTTCTTACAAGCGCAGAAAAGTAAGACGAAGGAAGAAGAAGAATAGACTTGTCCAGTGTTCCTCACAAAAGTACGTCCGCACTTTTTACATATTTCATTTTTTTTTCTTGAAAGAAAATGTTGTTCTTTACTTTTTTTTCTCTGATTAATTTATTTTCTGGTTTTGTTGTAGTTTCCGTCACCAAATCTGAAGCAATAATGGTGTCCTCGTATCAGAAACAGTAATATATTGCTTTCTTCGTTCAAATTCCCGTGTGGGTAGATTCTTTGTATTATTCCCTATCGTTTTCCCTAACTAAGAATTTTTGGTAACTTTCACATTAAGTAACTTATCATTTTTATTGTTCAAAACCCTTTTGATTTGTTGATTTCTAGCTCCTGATTTAGCCCCAAAATTGTAGTTTGGACTAAAGAGAAAAATGGGTTTGGGAATATCATCCTTGATTGGATTGAAAGCTGCTGTTTTGTTCTCTTCTTTTTTGTACCTAAAAAGCTTTGGATTCAGAATGTCATCACTACCATTTCTCTATGCCTCTTTGGTATCTGTATTGATCTCAATTGCAGCTCTTCCCTTGGTCAATCTTCCAATCCTTTTGGCCAAGAACACAGATGGGACTTTCCCCATTTGGTCAATAATTATCTTTAGTCCCTATTTGTATTTCGTCCGGGGATTTTCAGCGCTGCGAAGATGGTTCAGCATTTGTGATGGCTTGTATGTTGGTGGGTGGCCTTCTTCGCCTGATAAATTGCCGCCCGGTAACCCTGCCATTATTGACTGCACTTGTGAATTGCCAAGGAGGTCAGAGTTCTTGAGGAATGCTTATTTGTGTATTCCGACGTGGGATACGAGGTCTCCTCAGCCTGCTGACATTGAAACGGCCGTGAATTGGGCTTGTCGGAAGAGGGAACAGCGGAGGCCGGTGTTCGTCCACTGCGCATATGGTATGCCTATGCCCTCTCCTCTATTGCCAAAGCATGTGTTGTTAGTTTAGGTTTATGTGTTTGTGTTAAAATGCTTCTGCTTTTTGTTTGCATATTTAGTACTGGGTACTGTTGATAGTTGTAAACGTTGTTTCATGAAATTTTATCATCTTCATACTGATGTTTGTAGATAGTTTACAGGAATTACTTAAATATAAGAAGGTATTCATTGACAATTACTAATCTGTGGAGTTCGTGTTGATAAGAGAGTGATTTTCTTCATCTTTCTGCTTTAGGAATAGATATTTCTGTGTAATTGTTTTGTTGTATTGCAATATATGACAGAGACCTTCCTGGCCTCATTCTATGATGGCATTTTTTTTTTTTTTGATAAGTATTCTATGATGGCGTTAGTGCTTGAATTACTATTCCTTAGGTGTTGAGTATGTGTGTGCGCGTGTGCACTAGCGTGCGTGCCTTTCTTTTTAAAAAAAAAAAAAAACACGAACTGATAGAGATTCCCATCATGTTCATATCTAGGGGAGAAGATGGTTTTTCGATTGGGTGTCTACCTAGTTGGGATGCGACTGAAATTCTCTATTCCCCAGAGTATCCTATTTATTCACAAAAAAAAAAAAAAGACATATTGATTTTCGTCCATTTGAATTTCATGAGGAAGGGCTGTAAAGTTTATTAGACCTTTTCTATTGAGGTTTTAATATTTGTTAATTGATACAATTGATGCGTGATGATATTATATGAAACTTATTCATTATCTTATCTGATTCTCTTATGAGGATGAAATTGTCACCATTTTATTGAAGTCTCAGATAATGAAGTCTTATCCTTCCTTGCAAACGTTGATAGATTCTGCAAGTCCAAAGATTACTGGTTTAAAGAAAGATCTGAATGGTTTGAGTTAAAATTTCTGAATTGAGTCGAGCACTTTGATTATATATATAGTTATGTATGTATATATATATAAATATATATATTGGCCAATGCAATGCCTTAAAAAAATTTATTGCAAATGGTGTTTTTATTTTCAATGTTGCAATTAAGCGATTCTAAGGACATTTGAATTTTCATTAGAATTTATAACTCACTATACTACATTCTAAGGGTGATAGACATTAGAATGCCTTATTGACTTCTAGCTTGTTATGCTTTCGGAGAAATAAATTTTTAACCATATGGTGCAGGAATTTAGTAACATCCAGAAATCATGAATTGATCAATTTGACTCTTATTGCTTGCTGATTTTATAGCCCAGGATGACTTATTTCGGCTAGATTAAGGGGAAAAAAATATAAAAAATAGGAAACAGAAGCTCAATAGTTAGATAATGGTTATGTGCACTATCTAATGGGATGTTTAGGTTTTTCTATGCATGTGTTATTTCTGGTGGTGTGTACTTTCCCTCAAAAGTACGTATGGATTATCAGAAATCCATTGGGATAGTTACTGGGTGGAACCAATCTTTGATGACTAGAAAATTTCGGACTAAGGTCACGTTCATGAAATCTAAAGAGTGAAAATTTTGGATTCTATCCTGTCCATGGATACCCAGGATTCGGAGTCTTAAGGCTCCATTCATTTCACCAATTCGAGTTTAGAAATAGTAAAAAGCTCTCAGAAACAGTCATATCTAACTTTTTTACTACAGTAAAAAGCTCTCACATAAAGTCACATCTCAACTCGAATTAAAAACTCAAATTAGTGAACTAAACAGGCCCTAATAAATAACTGTTTCATTAACTGTGTATCTTTGGAAGGAAGGAGATGGATCAAAGATCAAAATTAAGATCATGTATTTTCTATATCGAGTTCAAAGAAGAGTTAAATAAGTAAATGACTGTTCAGTGTTGCCTTTTATTGGAATTTCAACATATCTCGTCTCTTTTTGCAATTTTCTTTTCTTCCAATTTCACTTGAATCTATATCAGTGTTAATAATTAGGCTCTAATCTATTTTGAAGACTTGGAATCATGATGAAAAGGATACTGGGTATTTTCCTAAATTAACATATTGCATATACAAATAAGGAACGCAATGAGTTATAGATTCGAGGAGCATCTCACTTGAACCAGAAAACATTGTCAAACTTTTGAGTAATATTTTCTTTTAAATTGTTCTTAGTCCTGTGTACTCCTGATCACATGTTGTCTGCTTTACTTGTTTTTATATGCTGCCGTTCAGTGGCGAACTCTTTGAAATTAAATTTTTTTTGTAAGAGGAAAACACTGTAACAGAATTCAATGATTTGACTTAAGAGTATATGAAACAAACGGACCGTTAGTCTTTTCCATTTGTAAGAGATTCTAATTGGATGTCCCAATCCTTTTAGGACATGGAAGAAGTGTTGCTGTTATGTGTGCCCTACTTGTGTCCCTTGGAGTAGTGGATGATTGGAAAGATGCCGAGAGATTAATTAAAGAAAAACGGCCTTATATTCGCATGAACGCTCTCCACCGCAAGGCTCTCGAAGAATGGTCGAAACACCGGTTGTCTCCTCCAAAGAAGATTGGATGAGCAAGCAAATGCAACTTCTGTAGTTTCCTATTTCTTCAGGCGCATCTGGGAATTTAAAATTGGAAGCGACATTCTCGCATAGATGTTATTTGAAATTGTTTATTTTACACAACTGTATTCATGGAATGAATGGAAAATTTCATATTCGTTCCTTATGTTATAGCGTAATTGTCTTTTAGTACTTTATGTTTTTAGTAATTTTAAATTAGTATATTGACGTTTTAGAAAATTATTTTTCAGTACTTTAAGGTTATTTTTTAAAATGTAAAATGTCAAAATTATCATTCTCATTAATTAACTAAAAAACTAATAATAAATTTAAAAATAGTGTTTGAGACCCACAGATGAAGCCCACCTTCTTCTATTAGTAATAGTGTTTGACACCGGTGGTTTCCTTCGAGTATGTTTCCATATATCACGTCTTCTTTTTTACTTTTAGTACCTCAGAATTCAGATTTGGTCCATTGCTTCGAGTATTTTTCCATATATCACGTCTTCTTTTTACTTTTAGTACCTCAGAATTCGGATTTGGTCCATTGCAACGCATTTTAACTGGAATCATATGTATTTCTCTAAATTCCTGCCTCTATCAGTTTAATACTGGACTGGTACTTCCAACCAAATTTCATTGCAGCAAGAACAAATAAGAAAGACCGCCCTTTTATGCAACAAACATTAATCTTCCACCAATTAAAGAACTGAAACGAATGTACAAACATCTCAATAAACCGACTATAGACGCAGTTGGGGTCCTTTTTAAAAAAAATAAAAATAAAAATAAAAAATTATGAGAACAAATACTAATGACAAGTTTCCTGACAACCTACAGATACGATACCAAATGAATTCAAGAAGCATTTTGGGATATATGTTTTTCCCTTACATGACCAAACTCACTCAAAACTATTTTGGGATTGAAATTTTGATCCTTTGCATATCCTCAACTCAGAAATCGACAGAACTAAAGTATGTGTATCTATTATTTTTCATTTAAAACAGATAATTAATTGAGATGTTCAGAGTAACAAAAATTTATAAAATTTACATTCTTACGAGCCATCAAGAAAAACAATACTTCTATATGAAACAAAACATACACTATCCAATCAGAAAATACAAACGCCACTTTGCCCTCATCACACTGGTATGATGGTATACACTTCTCAGATATCTTCTAGTTATCCATGAAAGAAATTTTCCACTTGTTGCAGTATCATTTAGTTTCCAAGAAAGTACATTGCTAGGAGCTAGAATTCGCAAATGTCAGCTCGGTTAAAGTTCTTAACTGCTACCTCGCTTAGCAGCTTCTGCACTACTTGTTGTCATAAAGGATTCTCCACAACCACATTGGCCTTTTGAATTTGGGTTGACGAAAATGAACTCAGATCTGCATAGAAAATAACAAGAATTATAACATGCAATGAAAGGAAAATCCGGACAAAAAAGGAAGATTTAATATTGCCAAGAAACAATTCTGGGATGCCAGTTGTATTTTACAAATCATCATCCATATTCTAATAAGCAAAGTGGTAGCAATTATCAATTATTCTCCATAATATTTCAAGGACTATCATAACAAGCACAAGAACTTCAACTAACCATAAGAAACCGATATCTAGATTCAAGCAGGGGTGTGTATGACAAAACAGAAACATAACAATTGCATAAAATTTGGAGAATCACTGCCAACACATACTAATTCTGCTAGGATCATGCCCGCTTGCAAGCTTGAGGAGACAGAGCAACCATCTCAAACACAGAATATAGACTAAGGTCTAAGATAAAGGAAGACTAAAGCAAAATGTTAGTCCATGTTCAAAAATTGAAGGCTTTAAACACTAAATGATGTTGAAAATAATAGCAAACTACGGTATAGCACAGGAAAATTTTAACAAGAGGACAGAACAAAAAGACTCAACAACCAAGTAATCAGGTGATAACGTACATAAGTATTCACAATTATGCACATCTTAGTCTTCAAGCTACATATGTACGCATACGAAAAACGTAAATGGAAACAAAATCCATATATAGCCTGTACGGCTGTACCTGAGTTTATCATCAATAAAATCCATCTTTGTTCCAATAACATGCATCAGGGCCTTTGGTTCGATCAGTATTTTCACGCCCTTGTCTTCAACCAACTCATCGAATTTCCCTTTTTCATCTGAAACATCTTAAGTAAAGAGCAATCAGACACGTAGTTTAAGCACAAGCAGCGCACTAGTACAAATTACTGAAAAATAAGTCCAACAGCTACAAAGAAATTATAAGAAAGTAATACCATCCTAGCTGATTTCTTAAGTCCTGTTAAGTCAATTTTCATCGTTATCAATATTACTAGAGCTGATTACTAGGAGGTCCTATACAAGATGACTCAAAACAAACTTCCACGGAACAGGGGGAAAAGGTGGAGTAGATAAAGAGTGAGAGTAGTGAAAACATATATTAACAAGAACACAATTGAATCACAAACGACCAACAGCCCTTGTAGTTCACCAAAACATGGGAAATGAAATGAAATGGGTTTTTTGAATAGAGGACGAACCGAAGACGTGTGCACAAAAGGAATAAATGGTCGTGCAATTTCAACGTAAACTACCAAGAACATAATTCAATTACAAAAGCCCATGTCACCTCTTTACCATTTTAAACGATTATAAGAAGAAGACATTTTTGTTTTGTAAATTAAGAGTTTTTTCCCCCTTTTTTTGTTTGAAAGTCTTCTAATTTGGTATAAAGTTGCCACTAAACTATAGCCTTTCGAAGCTTTGAATTGAAGTTTTCTACGTTCATGAAAAATAACAGATTATAACCAAAATCACCCTAATTCCTAATCCTCTATTTCTAGATCTTTAAAACCCTATACAATATCGTAATAATTAAAACAAAACAAAAAAAAAAAACCAATCACCATTCAGCAACAAATCAGACGGGAGAAAAAAAATCGAGTCCTTTATCAAACGGAATAACAACTGATTCAAATCAAATCAAGTTAAATCAAAGAATAGGTGATGATTAGATGGCTAACCGGCGTAATTGAGGGTGTAGGATAAGCCGTTGCAACCGCGCGCCTTGACGCCGAGGCTGAGGAAAGGGCGTTGGCGTTGCCGGAGAAGATGGCGGATTCTGTCGGCGGCGGCGTCGGTCAAGCTCAGGACTTGCCGTCGCAGAGTGGGTCCCGCCTTCGACAACACGGAAGAGGACGAAGCAGCTGCCATTTCCGTCGATCTTTCTGGAACTCGAATTCGACGGTGCAAAGTGCAAATCAAACGAAATGTTGTTGTGTTCTGGTTTGTTGTTTTGGGCCGGGTTTAAACTCTTTTCGGCCCAAGCCTAATAATCCATTTATAATTAAGTAATTTACTTTTTTTTCGTTAACAATTAAGTATAAAAATTACGTGGCGAAATTTCTACGGTAGAGTTGAAATTTAACAAAATTTTCAAACTGTTAAAAAAAATAATAAATTTACATAGTAATTATCATAATGGTGACCATTTTTATACTATACAATTACACAATAATTATTTTAATAACAATGAATTTTACTATTCTTAAAATATTTTGAAATTTTTGCTAACTTTATAATTTAGATTTTGCCATACGTTTAAAAGGACAAACCTTATAATTTTTTGTATTTTTTTTAACTATGATATGAAAACAACAACCACTGGTAATATATGGTATATGTAGTAACTCATGGCCTGCCACACACTACTAATAGATTATGTTAAATTGCTATGCTTGATCGGGTAAAAATTGTATCTGGTTTGATCAAATAATTAAAAACTATGTCATATTCCCCTAAAAAAAAAAAAAAAAAGAAAAAACTGTGTCATATAAAAGCTAAGATATTTTTTCACACTATCGCAGAATTCTTCATAATTTGAAGACAGCAGCCCAACATGAATATTTTAAATTGATCAGCAAAAAAAAACAGGAATATTTTAAATTTTAAACAAAATAAGGCCACTGTTTTTTTTTTTTTTAAGGGATAAAGGTAAAGTGTAAAGTTAACAATAATTGTACTCATAATGCTAAATGCATGTTTAGTTCGCTGTTTTGAGTTTTTAATTCGAATTGAGATATAATTTTATGTGAGAATTTTTTACTGTAGTAAAAAAGTTAGATATGACTGTTTCTGAGAGCTTTTTACTATAATAAAATTTGAATTCTAAACTCGAAAACAGTACCTAAAACTCAACCATATATAGATACAGTTAAGTTTGCGCCAGCGGTCATCTTAAGATAATTCATTATCGACTTTGAGGCAATCTGATGACTATGATAAGGTTAGAATCATATGATAAGGTTAGAATCATAGAGAGAGAGAGAGGACCAAATCATCCATAGATTCACCAGTTCTAATAATTCACTTTGAAATGAGTCAGATCCATGTTATCAGTAATTAACCTAAGAAATGTCAGTTTAATTATATAAAAATTCATAAAAACCAGACCTTCTTCATCAAACATTAAAAAAAAAAAAAAAAAGAAAAAAAAAAAGAAGGGTCTCTGCAGATTGGATTTATGTGTTGTTGAAAGATGCATCAAGAACCAAACTAATATCAAAATCACAAGAGACTAAATTAGGGATCAGTCCATTACATTTTACAACTCATCATACAAAGCAAAGCAGTACCGCTGAAAGTTTATCCACATCTGAAAGTTGGTCTTTCTCCTTAAAATTCGTACGAACATGCGCGTCAAAGAATATGGACGAAAAAAGAAAGGGTCTAGATTGTGATTCCTTATAAGTAATTCTAAATAAAAATATCACTGCAAGGACTTCAAGAGTAAAATTGCCTACTTCTACAACATTGAGTTCACGCAGTAAATAAAATTGTGAGGAGCTGACTCCTAATCATTCTATACATAATCATCATCGCTGTCATAGTCAGAACCTGACTCGTCGCTTCTCGGTTCCATCAGCGTGTTCATGTCGAATGAAGGCTCGGGATCCATCTCCTCCAGGTCAATAGTGTCATAATCCATCCGTTGCTTAAACTTTTCATCGGAGCAATTAAGCATCCATGCAAGAGAGCATTTCAACCCTCTTTTTGTAACCATCTTATGTCTTGGTTTTATGGTAGATTCCAGGCCATAAGTAAAGAACGCTGCAAAATCAACCAAGTCATCCAAAGGCCTTCCCATCTCCGTCTGAAAGAAATCGAAGCCAAGTCTCATGATGTCAAGATTCAAGGCAAGCAACTGAGGACACCCCACGATCATTTTCCGCAACTGTTGCAAGGAAAATCCACAATTCTTCAGGAAATCCACATGCTTTATCAAAGGTGTCTTACTGAGGCTAACAACCTGTGGCATCTTCTCAACAACTCCGCCAAATTCCTCTGGGTCCAAATCAATTACGGACTTGAGCAAACTTTGTTGACTATGAAGCTTAGACTTGAGGTCAAGCCCTAAAATCTCAGGATATTGTGCGACTGCCGATGCAAGTGATGCTTCTTCAACATGAAACTCCAAAAGTGACTCGACATTTGGCTTCACCCTCTCCTCCAACCCAAACCCGAGTATTTGAGGCCGTCTCTCTATTAATCTAGCCACAGCTAACCTAGGAATACCCAAGGTTTCAAGGTATTCAACAAAGGGCTTTATCACACGTCCCACTCGCATCCCTAAAATCTTGGGGTATCTAGTTAAAACCCCTCCAATCTCCCTTCTTGCCACCCCAATTCCAACCAAATAAGCCACTGAAGTACTCATGGTCCCCTCAAGCTTGAACCCCAAAACTTCTGGATATCTTTCGAGAACACGAGGAATGTCATTGGGCTTAATGTCCATCCCTTGAAGATACTTAACCACTGGAGCAAGATCGACTACAACACTAGCATGAAGCACTTGTGGGTATCTACGCAAGAAATCCGTGAAAGTCGACTTCCTCACACCCAATTTACCAAGATAATCCAACACAGGAATCATGTTCTTCTTCACACTGCAGCCTAGAACAAGCGGATAGTTGTTAATGTCCTCGATTGTGAGCCCCAAATTGTGGAGAAAATCTACACGCTCCCTCATGACTTCAACTGTCACAGGCAGTTCTAAGCCATCAAGCTCATCAGGGACAATACCTATACTGCGCAGGAACTCATAAACTCGGTCACGGTTTTCAATCCTCTCGTTTCTCATCTCCAACAAACTAGGACGACTATAGAGGGATGAAGAGGAACCTCTCCCTTTTCGACCTACACGAACGGTGTCCATCTTTGAAGTTCTCTCAAAAGTAGAGTACTGAGACTTTGTAACAAACCCAATAAACTTCTCATGGCTACGAGGGATTCCAAGAACTGGGTTACAAATTTTTAAAGGTTTACAAGATATAAGTGCAGGTAACTCTGGATGTACAAGCAAAAAGCTTGGTTTTGTAATAGCATTATAACCTATCTTCATAGGTCTATACTGTAATAAATCTGCAAAACGAGAAAATAGAAAATCATCACAATATGCTTAGTAAGAATTTACTGACTCAATAATCAACACCCAATTTTTATCAGTCAGTTAACCTCAACGTCTCATTTCTCAGCAAACCAAATTTTGTTTCAAAGAAATGAAACCAAGAAAAAAAAAAAAAGGAAGTAATTGCTCTTATACAAGAGCCTAGAAGGTTTACCGCCATTGCATATATATATATATATATATATATATATATAGCTGAAAATAGAGGGCTTTTATAGCTCATACAAAACAAAGATAACAGAGAGATATTTACATAAGTTTTCAGAAACTAAGAAGAAAATCATGAAGGAAAATGAATAGGCTCATATCTAAATTGGGGATTTTAGGGTTTTCTAGTAAAATCAGAATGATAAAAGAGAATTTACCAAACTTAAAATTGAAATAAAAAAGGAAACACCAATTCAATACGGAAATTTCGGATTAAGCTAATTTAAGAGAGGAAAAAAAAAAACCGTACCTCGAATTTTCAAGGTTTCTAAAACTTGTCGCTGTTCCAAAAAGATTCGCTGCAGAAATTGGCCTTCCACTCAGTACTCTGAAGATAGCTCGATGGTGAAGAGAAGAAGAGAAGAGCGAGTCCGAGAGGGAGGGAGAGCGAGCTTGCGAAGGAAAGAGATTTTTATTTTTATTATTAGACCTTGTTATCAAAAAAAAAAAAAAAAAAAAAAAAAAAAAAAAACATTTGCTAGTGCAGTTGTCCTATTATTGATAAAACTTATGGGTCCGTTTCGAATTGGTTCTAAAATAATTTTATTTTTTATATAAAAATAAAAATGGAAATTAAAAATGACTCAGGCGTTTTCAATTTTGCTCACTTTTTGGAAACAAATAAAAAACGTTTTCATTTCCTGTTTTTCAAGAAATGCATGCCAAACACCTTCCCCCAGAGCATTTTCATTTTTTTGTTTTTGGAAAACGTGAAAACTGTTTTTGAAAACGGAACCAAACAAGCACTATGCTTTAGGTGCTATGTTTTGTTTTTGGTCTATAATAACGGAAGTGGTCTCGACATTTTCAAAATTATTGTGTGTTCAATCTCTTGAAGTTGTTTTTTAAAGTATCGTGTGTGACCTTTGTGTTATGAGTACTTCAGTCTTAATTGATTTGAAACTCTTGGTATTGTTAATTAAAGAGTCTTTGCTTGATAGTTAGTATATCCTTTTAATTTTCAATTATTGGAACTACTTGCACGTTTTATCTTTTTATGCAGAGTGGAACCGATCTATAGATGAGTAACAATCATTCTTGTCATCTTTAGTGTGTGATTTTTTTTTTATTATTATTTGGAATATAATCACCTTTCAAAAAATAATTGTAAAAAATTCATGCTTTACTCGTAAACTTGTGTTCTAGTTTTACCAAATTAAAATCTTGGCTTGTTGTTTATATCATTACACGTATTACTTAGCTAAATATCTAATTGTAGTTTTCTATTTTAAGCTGATAGCTAAGTTTTGTTCACATCCTTTAAATGTAATATTATCGGATGAAAGAAAATTTCCCTTATTTGTCGTCTCCTTTTCTCCAAGAGTGTATTGAAAAATAAAAAGATAAATATACGACAAGTACTTAGTAAAACCGTACTATTTAAGTTTCTAGTATCTAGTAAGAATATATAGGTTTCGTTCTTTTTACCGATTTAAGTTTTAAGTTTTATAATTAAAAATTCACAAAAAATATCACATTTAATTTTTGTTCACTACACTTAAAAAGTCTTAAAAAAATGTCATATCTTAATTTGAATTAAAAATTTAAATCCGTGAAACGAATGAAGCCATAGTGTTTCTGTTATTTTGGTAAAATGCAGTGTGTAAGGGGAAGTTTGGTTTGAGAATTCAAACTATGATTTGAATCATGGTTCATGATTCGTTACAGTATTTTTTCTCATAAAAAATACACGTAAATCAAAAATGATTCTAATCTATGAACTAAACGTTTTCTAAGTGTAATAAACTCAAATGCAGGGTATGCGCTTGTTTCGAAGCTCGATCGATGGGAAGGTTCTGAAGCGTACATACAAACAGAGCACTAGTTGGAAGATAGGAAGGATCCACACATAAATATTGTTTTATATATGCCTCTGAGCTTGAAGAACATCTACTTTTAGTTTCATTGATATCAAACAGTAACAGAGCCGTGATTTATTAGTATGGGTCAATTCTTTTTTTTTTAATCAAGATTATACTAATATATATATATATATAACAATTTTTTGTTTATTAAATATTTTATTTTTTAAAATTTAAATTGACATAATAAAATACGGAGAACTATTAATTTAAAGGAGTCAAATCTAATTTTTACACATACCTAATATATTAAAATTAAAACCATTATATTAAAAAAAAATTATGCGCATGTTTAGAATTTGTTCTAAAATAATTTTATTTTATTTATATGAAAATAAAAATAAAAACGTTTTTAATTTCATACATAAATTATTTTTAAAAATGCGTTTAGTAGTTTTATTAAGTATAAAAAAAACTCGTTAATGTTTCTCTCTCTCTTTGCTCGAAAGAGGAGAAAACGAAAATAAAAAATAAAAAACGATTAAAAGTCATTTTTCATTTCTCTCTCATTTTACACTAAACAAAAAAATCGTTTTCACTCCCATTTTTTGTATTAAATGCGTCAAATACCGTTTTAAAAATGTTTTTATATTTTTTCTCGAAAAACGTAAAAAAAAACAGGCTGAATTTTAAACACAGTCTATGGCCTCGTTCATTTCGCCGATTCGAGTTTTGTTACAGTAAAAAGCTCTCAGAAACAGTCACATCTAACTTTTTGCTACAGTAAAAAACTCTCACATAAAATCACATCTTAACTCGAATTACAAACTCGAATCAGCGAAGAAAACGGCCCTATGTCTCTGTCATTGATAGAGATGCATAAAAAGTGGCTGTGAGAGACAATGAGGGTTGCTGGGGCTGGTGGAATCTTAATCAGTCTCGTACCTAATGGGCGAGCTCTAGCAGAATCATAATTCTGCGAGAGACTGCCACCAAGACTGCATCCCCACAAAATACACCCTCCGCCCCACCAGCACGGTAGTACAATGTAAAGCCGCCGTCCCACGCCGCCACCGTCGACATTCAGCCACTTTATTGCCCCACTTGGTTACAAGCCCGCGTTACTAGGCCCAGCAATACGTGGGTCAACTCGAATGCAATATAAACGCTTCATTTAATAGAACCCTAAACATAAGAAGCATTACATAATGCAAAATATGATATCAATTACATTGGCCAAAATAAGTCAAAATATGAAGATGCAAATTAAACAAATTTCATGAAAATCATAAAAATCAAACTTTTGACAACGAGTGTCAAACTAATTACAACAATATCAAACAAATTTTACTAACATCAATCAAACAGATTCCACAAATATATTAGTTAAATTTCAGAAATTTTGAAGGTCAAAAGAAAATTTCAATACGTGGAGGGACTAAAATCAAAATTTAAAAAATATTCAAATCATGAAAAATTTTCTTAAAGTTCTAGATCTCTTTTTTTTTTGTTAGCTAAAAGTTTTAATGCATAAAAAACTCTGATTAACTAACATAAACATATGAAGTTTAAACAATTAAAAAGAATTAAAAATTCAGTTGTTACAAGTAATTTAATTAATTTTCCAACATAGTGCACAAAATATGCTTAATGGAATATTGCAAAATATATATATTTAATGCTATGATCATTGGAGATTAGTTTATAGACCAGTAACCAAAAAATAATAATTATCACAATGATATAATTAAACGTACAACATTTAGATTATCATTATCGTTGTACTGTGATGATTTTGATAAAACATTGATCATTACAAACTTTTACTTTATAATATAGTCTTTTTATTATAATTTTAACTAAAAAAAAGCATAGCTTTTAATTCTTAGAAGAAAAAACTGTTGTACCATGGTCGAACAATCGATTGCTCCTTTGACTGTCAAGCACCGAGACGTTATCAGTCGAGAATTGGTCGCTGACGTCGAGGAAATGGTTATACGTGAAATGCCCTCAAGACGATGAGAGTTCTTGCAGGAGAAGGATATGCGTCGAGAACTCCACCTAAGCCGTGAAGTTCACGACGTCGAGAGATCAGCCTGGTCAGATTCAAATTAAATCCCGCCAAATCAGGAAATGATAAACTATAACAACTGTTCAGATTCGAATCTAGAAACTAGATAACCGATAAGGGTAATTTTCCAAATTCGGTCATTCAAATATGTAAACACAACTGTCACTGCGATGGTCACCAATCGTCTGGTTTCGGCGACGGCGTTTATTGGGTTCATCGGCGCATCCTCCGGCGACGGCATCAAATTTGGCGATTATGCAAATTGCTAGGAAATTAGTTATATTTACGAATACTTAAAAAAAAAAAAAAGTGGTTGTTTGTGGTGGCGAGGGCTGCCAGGCGGGGTGAAATCTTAATCAGTCTTCAGCAAATACCGCTACGGGACGTCCAATTGCAGGGATTTTTACTTCCGCAAGAGACCGCCACAAAGACCGCGTCACACAGATCCACCCAACACTGGGGCGGGACGGAATCACGTCATCGTCTCTCAGGCCTCGCTCATCAACATTCAGCCACTTTATTGCCCCACTTGGTTACAAGCTCACGTTACTAAGCTCGGTGTGCCTAAAAGTCACTTGAAATGTATATATGAATACTTGAATTAATTGATCCTCTTCCGA